GTTCAGCGTATACAGATCCTTGTTCCACGCAGAAATGCCAACAGTTCATTCCGCAGCTCACCGCACCATTGACTCGAGCAAGATGACCTGCACGCGCTCTGCCATGACGCAAAGGAGAGTTATTCACCGCCAGCTGAGCGAGACACCAGGCGACATAGAAGAAGCGAAGGCATAACGGCGCCCCGAAATGACTCCCGCGCAGTCTAAATAAAAAGACGAACCCGCACTCGCTAGCCGTGGGAAAAGGGGACTCGAGGAACGGTGCCTGCCTTTAGGCCCATGCGGTTCGTGACAGAAGGAAAGAAAAATAGAAGGCTGGGAATCGAAGCAACGGGAACACGATGGGGTTGTGCGAGATTGCCTTCCTTTTAAGGGAGACCAGGCCGAGAGTTGCTAGTAGCGCGTCGTCTGTGTACTTCTTCTCTGTTGTGTGTCGTTTTTTTTTTCGCGCCCCGTATCATCATGAACCAGCACCAACTCGCCCAACTTTTCACTTTACGGGTTTTCTTTCTTTTTTTTTTTGTTTTTAAGTGCAATGATGCGGCATTTCACGCGGATGCGCCGATTGTACCTCGCTTCGATCGCCTAATTTGTGACAGCACGACTGTATACGCGGTTCATTACAGACATGCACGCTGACGCACCGCTCTTATTTTGTAGCGTTATTACCGTGTTGGTGAAGCTTTCCTGACAGTTCACTTAAAAGGCGTCCAGTAATGAAACATCGACGAACGGTGATTTTAATTTCTTGTCCTCCCTAGTGCACCTGTTATATGTAAGATGGAACAAAGAAAAAGGAGAGTACCCTATTTGCACGAAAGGAAAATAAAGAACTCGCATTTCGAAGAAAGCCATATAAGTAAGCTGCGCGAAGTCTATGCTATAACATTGTTTGTTACCCCACTTCAGTACGTGATCGGTACACGCAACATCTCTCTGATCTGAACCTACGTTTGGTACAGTGAACCATGGCCTCCGAGAGTGATAATAATCTCGTAGGCTATGGTTTGACGAGTCTGGAGGTGGTTGTATCCGCGACGTATAAATAGTTGTAACGTCGAGCCTGGGTATATATCGGTATTATAGCTAATCACTGCCCTAGTAGCTGGCAGATCACGTGCTTGCTTAACGCTCCGCCCCCTTCACTTCCACGATTCGAGAACGGCAAAAGAGCGGTGATGTCATGACCTAGCGTATTGACTCGTGTACAAGTACTCCCGGAAACGGTTAGCACTGGCCACCAACCAGCGCCGACCTGGCTAGATTTCGATACACAAATGTTAACGCAGGCTTCCGATGGGTCCATGCCATCACGTGTTCATAGTTATGAACGGCACAAAAACACACGGTACTCATCGAACAGTCAGTGCCATCAAGTGTTACCATTGCTTGACAATACGACGACTAGAGTTGGTTGATGTAGACTAATATCCACAACCACACAATGTCTAGGACCAGCAAGAATACAATTTTGGCATCGGATACAGAGATCAGCGACGTCACTGAAACCGCCGTGTTGGGGCACCAGAATGGTGGACGCGAAGTCACATTAATGTCATCAAAGCATCACATGCAGGCTTTCTTGTTCACGCGCACAGGCGGTCCTGCCACGTCGTTATGAGAATGACACAGTTTAACAGCGACAAGACTTTCATCAGAGCCGCCATTTTGGAGTACCAGTATACTTTGTTCAGAAGCTGCCTCCCCAGCGTCAGGTGCGAGCTACTCACACGTACGTAAGAACCCCATTTTTCTCGTAACTAACGCAAGACCTATTCCATGTTTGCAAACTGCGGCAGGCGCCGTCAACATACTGAGGCCCTTATAGCGACGTCGCGGCGCGCTGGCTCCGCCCAGCCCAAAGCTCGACCCCGCCCTATAGGGTCAAGTGACAACTGACACGTGATCATAATCGTGGGTACACACGGGAGGCTGTTCCCTGACGTGCTGTGCTCGAAGGCAGCATAGCAGCTGCCGTGCCAGTTGTCACGAGATCATAAGAGGGTGGCGGCGAGCTTTGGGCTGAACGGAGCCCCCGCCACCACATGACTGAACGCGCCTCAGTATGTCGACGGCATAGAGTTTCCTAAAATTAATCAGAGGGGACTCTGGCGCTGCGATCATTCACCGACCATGGGAATGATGGGTAGTACATGGATTTGCCTAGTCTTCATACTCGCGGGCCGCGAATCGCACTTGTGGCGTCGTTTATTGCTGCGTTTCGGTTTTCTTTAGAAGGAAACAACGAACTTTTCAGCCTCTTGTACCCATACGAAAAGGTAAGCCTAAAAGAATATGGTTGTGAAGCGCAACCTCTGAACATTTGCTGACATTTGTTTCGTGAAAGAACAGCTCCAAGCCACACGTACACACGCGGAGCCAGAACTGCGAAGATTAGGCAAATCCGTGTACTACCCAACATTCCCATGCTCGCTGCAGCGTCGTGCGTTGCAGCTCCCACGGACTCTAGCGCCAGAGTTCCCTCTAGTGTACATTTAGGAAACTGTATGGTCTATGGCGCCTGCCGCTGTTTGCAAACGTGGGATGGTCAAATGAAAGGCCAATTTCGGTGCGTCGGTCGGTCTTGCAAAGTGCGCACGGAACAAGGAGGAGGCCCTCGCATCGGGGCAGCTAAAAAAACCGGCGCCACCGGCACGGCGGGGCAGAGGAGAGAACGTTCACCCCGATCCTGCAAAGGGAAGGAACTGGCTGCTGCTTGAATGAGCCCGGCTCCGGAGGAACAGCCTCGAAACAAAACCACGTAACAAGCCTCCTCTCGAGGCCCTCCGCTTTCTTCAGCGCATGGACGCAGAAAAGTGGCGCCCGACTCCGACGTAGTCAGGGACTCCGACGTAGTTAACGGGGGAATACGCGTCTATAAAACGGCACGAGCGCTTTTCTTTTTACACGCGAGAAGGTGATACTAAGCAAGCGTATGAATAACCTATCGGTGAATGGCGTATCAGTGCCGGAAGCAGAAATATTTTTTGGCTGGGGCGGGTGGACAACAGCGCGGGTGAGTTAACCTTTATAACGTTTTCTTTCTTTTTCTTTTTTATGCATGCGCTCGTAGCATGCAAATATGTATACGCACGGAAAACTGAATAATTTCGAGGGATGGGGTTGAGTAGCCCCACGCCTTTCCCCAACTACGTCAATGCCGTAGTACTACTTCCGCCAAATTGTGCTCCTCCTTGAAGTATCATGGCCGAACTTCTTGGACGCAGCTTCTGGAAGGGACTGGGACTCCACAGTGGCGGCTTGGATAAGTAACAAGTTGCAGAAACGGTTCTGTGCGTGAATAATGAAATAACGTGCATGTGATGCTGTGAGAACATGAATTCGACATCGGAAACGTCATATTCCCCTCACACCGACGTCCCTACAAGCGCCTTAGCATGTCGACGGCGCCTACCACAGTTTACAAACATGGCATAGGTCCATGTACACATCGTCACGCACGGCCAGCCGCACAACCAAACGCATCACAGAAGAACTACGCTCACGTGCATGCACACACACATACAATAAGCTCTTTCCATTGGTAGTAATAGAGAAAACTCACTCGCGTGTTTACAAAGGAATATTGCCTCCGAGATTGCCCGGCTCAAGCAGGCAACGAGACGCTGCATTTCGGAGGCAAAGGTACAGGCGCGAAAAGCAGACTCACGCTTATACTTTCCGCAGTTCCACACTCGTAAAACCACTCGAAAATAGGCATCCAAACACCGAGAAACATATACACAATAACGCAGCAGTTCTGTTAGCCTTTCGCCGGCTCGATATGTGACCAGTTATGCTCAGGCTGTCTGCATTAAATTGCGAATCTCGTCGGAAATGCGACAACAGGCGTCAACCGACTTCTGACGCACACGAGCGCGGACCGAAACGGCGTGCTTAAAAGAACCATGCGACTTTGTCCACAGCGAACACCTGCATAATTGAGTCTTCTACGAAATGTTTTCTTGTGCAGTGGTATATCCACGCAGGGGTTACATTAAGTCACTTCGGCTCGCAATAACTATAGTTCACGGTACACAACACTAACTCAGTGTTTATACAGCCCGCGACATACAACGCTGCCTGAATGATATATATGTACTACTGACATCGGTCAGTCCACGTACAAACGCACGCAAGCATAAACCTTCTACACGAAGACTTCTGACTAGCATAACGTTCCCCGCAGGTAGAAATGATGTTTCAGCGACCGAGCGACGATGCTTCTTTCACGCGACAGGCCGAGTGAGTAGGCTGGCTGTTCAAAGGGAAGGGGAGACTCGATTGCGCTGGACAAGAACGCGCAGTCTCGTCCAAGGCCGACCGGCGATTTCATTAATGGAAGCAACAGAGCGGCCCGACGGCGCGTAGGAGTCCGATTCAAGCGCACAGGTGAGACGGGCGCGCCTCCGACATCAGCGCTTGTTTGGGGCGTCACCATGGCTGAAGCCGTCTGCGGAAGGCGTGTACTCGACGCCGTCCAGGGCGAATGTGAATACGCGATTCAATCTCAAGAGTGGACAAACGAATCGTACGCGGCTTCCACTTGCGCTCGTTTCCGCAGCTGAATGCCGTTTTAAATCCGTGCAAAACAGCATACTCAAGGAAGTCTGAAGCAAGTGAAAGCGAAGCACTCCCGTGCTGGCAGTCCATATCGAGTGCGAAACACACGGGCAACCTGAGTTGAAATCTTTCAAGCTTCGTTAGAGTGCTCTGCACCTCATATATCGGCACTTTTGCCGAAGCGATGACGCTCATTCATGCGGGAGCACTGATGGAGAATCAATGAAACCACTGGAATGCGACAGCAGCAGCAGCGGTCGGGGCTTCACCGCATGTGCATCGCCGGGCACAGCGTCGGCCGACTCGTGTACACACACACACACACACACACACACACACACACACACACACACACACACACACACACACACACACACACACACACACACACACACACACACACAGGCGTTACGGCGACTGTTGGGAATCGCGCTCACCTTGCAGGCAGGACACCTGACAGCCATCTTGGCGAAGCCTCTGCACTAGCACTCCGGTGACCTGCGCGTCAGCGTAGCTGCCGTCCGCGTCGTAAAGCACGATAGGCAGTTGGCGGTAGCACGTCTCGAAGGCGTCTCGCTGCCGGGAGTCCCTGAGCACGCTCGAGACGCACAACTTGCCGTTGGACAGTCGTCGTAGCACGAGGTGCGACGCCGGAAGGCTGACGCCCAGCGCGCCGCGCAACCGGCACCGCGCGAACTGCTCGGGCGGCCGGCAGTCAAGCAGGAGCAGCTCGGGCGCCGCAGGCTCGCGAACCCTCGCCGCGACCCAGTCGGGCCCTACGGTCGGGCACGAGCCACTCATCACGCTCGTCGACAGCTCGCGGGAAGGCATGATGCCGGCAGAGGACGCATGGGCCGGCACCTTAATCGTGGAAGTAGGACGCACCACCGACGACACAGCGATGAACCAGGTTTAGCGGCGCGGAGCGCCGCACACGCACACACACACACACACGCGCGCGCGGCAGCAGAGGAACAACGCACGGTACTCAGCGCCCCACCGCCATTGCTGCGGGCACTGGTGTTTCTCCGAGGAGCGCCGGATGCAAGCATCCAGTGAGGGCAACCATGGCTTCTGGTGACGACACGGCTGTGCTGACCAATCAGACGCGAGCGCGCGCAAGGAAAGCCGCTCGCGTTTTGTCGAAGCGGGCAACGTCACGACTGCGGAAGCGCTGAAACACAAAACAAAAAGAAAAGCGGACGACAGTAGAGACGTGGGGCTCCGCCCACTTCCCCCACACAGAAATCCAAAATGGCGCGTGCAGCACGCGCGTAGGTGGTGCGCTGGCGAAGGGCGCGGTAGCGCGGTCTCCGTGCCGTGCTCGCTGCCCACGCGTTTTCTTTCCGACCGCGCTCGTGTGGCGGCTAGGCACGGCTTTTTCGCGTGAGTTCTTCCCTTCTGCTTCTCCGACCATTCGTTGGGCGGCTTCGACCTTCCTCTCGTGTTTTTTTTTTATTTATACGACGCTGTTTTTTTTTTTTTTCGCACCCACCTTCTTGATTGTCCAGCGAACGAGGACATTCGTGCGGAGGCGTGCGGCGCATGGCCGCCGTCAGGCGGCGCTGCCAATCAATGGAGTGACGCCGCGTGAACAGCATTTTTTTTTCTCACTTGTTTTTGCTGAATGAACGCGCGTACGCGAGGAGAAACCATTCAAGGTACACGCTCGCTCGCTAAGGAGGAGGGGAGAGGCTTCGTCACACATTGGGAGCGCGTTTCGGACACACGCTCTGACTGGGCTGCCTCGATCCCGAATGGGACGAACGGCCCGAGAACAAGAGGTCGTAGAACGCCGTTCTGGCGCCGCACAGTTCGTGTCGGCCGAACGTTGCGCTAAGGGCAGCGCAGTCGTTACGCTGGCGCGAGAGCCGCGCAGCGCCGGCCTCATTCCGCTGCTACCTTGAAAGGACGAAATAAAAGTCTCCCATTCAGTCGAGCGCGGCCACCCGCGCGCGTCCGTTTCATTTTCCTGCACGGAGTCAGAATGGAGTTGCGACGTACGCGCCTCGCCGTGAGTGACCGCGTCTCGTAGTACTACTACTACGTTGAGGAAAACGGGCGAGGGTGTAGGGGGAGGAAAATGGCACGCGCAGAAGCGACTTCGTCCGCAGGTCGTTCGGTGTCCGTTGACGTGAGACGCCTTCGATGTATGATCCGCACGCACCGGTGCGACGCTCTTTGAGTGGCCACGATGTCGACGTGCAATGCCGGGAACGGCCGGCCAGACCGTGTGAACCGGAAGTGACATGAAAGGCCGGCGATATGCTTGTGCTTCGAGAAGGCCCTCCGTCGAGGCGTGTACACGTGACTTCCGGCTTAACGTACGCGGCTCCTTGTGCGCGTTCTGCATCGTTAATCCGTGCTTCCTCTGGACGCACTAAGCACCGTCTCATTTCTCGCACTCCCCTGAGGAACCTGACTTGAGGAAAAAGCCACCGACGCCTTCATCCGTTCCGTGGGAGACGGAAGCTAATTGTTTCCGCCACTTGAAACGCGTCGTCGCATTTCGACCGTTGCGACGGCTCTTGCGTGGGGGTGGGCGTGGAACAGCCGGGGACGCGCCTGGCTTATTTTTGGGTGTCACCAACCGTCATATTTGCTGCACTTTTTAGTTCGTTCACTCCAGAAATCTGGTTGTTTGTTTATTCGGACGTTGTGCGCAGTTTTGTTTTCGCGAGCAACGAACTTGTGGAGATGGGTGCATTTAGCTCTCTCTGGCCCGCGCACCAACTCTGATCTCGACAGGCAGCCGTTGCTGAAGCTTCTTATAATGGTAACCTCCCCTGCTTGAGTGTCGTCCAGGTGAACGTTTGTAAATAGTGTCCGCAGCATCGCCGAGAATAAGCATCAGCTAACGAATCTTGTAGACACTTCCAATTTTCCGGCCTTTGGCTGCCGAGCCCCATTTGTGAAAAACGACATAGGTATACCGGCGTTTTTGTCAGTGTAAGTGTTCTAAAAATTACCGATAATATTCGACTAAAAAATGACTGCTTCTTGGAAAAGGCACTCAAAAAAAGAGTACCGGTAGGGACATGACATAGCACAAACACGAAAAAAAAGGATTTTTTTATCATTAATCTATAGCCTGAAGAACTATGATGAACCGTAGTGGTACAACCTAAAATAGTAGATACTCGTACCCATATAAACTGACATTGATTGCGTTATCTACAATGGTTTAAATTATCACAATAGTTTGCTTAATACCAGTTATACACTGATTGTGCACACTAAAATGAAAGATTATGAGAAATTCCTTCATCTTTGTTTCTACAAGACACACTAGGATTGTGTCTTCTACGATTGGCTTAAAGTAAGCATTGAGTTTTTTGTGTACAAGCTATAGGCAAAACGAATATGATTAAAAAAACTGCACATGCAAGCGTGTCAGAACCATAGAGCATGCAATGAAGCGTGAAATAATCATTACACTCTTATAGGCACTCTGTTTCGCAATAAATGCTGGAAAGAGAATAACGTTTTACAAGAATAGCATTACTATTAACTCAGCACATTTTTCTTGAATTCCCATGAACTATACGAGGCTATAATAAGATGTAGCGTGCGTTAAAGTCGGGGTGAACATAAATATCACAAAGCCGGGTTTTGTGCGAATACATCAGACAGCGTTATAACGCTTAAATAGAGTTAGTATTTATGGCCCCGCCACGGTGGTCTAGTGGCTATAGGTACTCGGCTGCTACCCGCAGGTCGCGGGATCGAATCCCGGCTGTGGCGGCTGCAATTCCGATGGAGGCGGAAATGTTGTAGGCACGTGTGCTCAGATTTGGCTGCACGTTAAAGAACCCCAGGTGGTAGAAATTTCCGGAGCCCTCCATTATGGCGTCTCTCATAGTCATATGGTGGTTTTGGGACGTTGAACCCCCCAGATCAGTTAGTATTTATGCGTCACGAACACGACAAATATACCTGGTTAATTTGACCTTGACATGAAATAATCACCCTCAATGGCATACCAACTCTATAGCGAAGGGGGGGGGGGGGAGGGGCATACCTACCTTACTCGTCAACCGAAATTTATATATATTGTAGCGAAGCCTCCGAACTCTGACATGGGTCGAACTCTTGAGTACCTCCTAGTGGGGCTACCCAACAAGGACGCCGCTCGCGCTGAGAGCCCGTGCTTGGCCGTGACTATCGCTATTGTATGTTCTCGCTGGTTGCCGGCTAATAAACGCCTTAACAATTTGGTGGAGAGTGCTGCGATCCCCGTCTATGCCTTTAGAGCTACGATCACGTACCCTGCCATCTACTATGTACCACGACGCTTCTCAGCAAACGCCTCCTCCAATGCCACCCCCTTGTCCCGGTGTCCCCAGAATCCGCGATCCACCCATCTTCACTGGCGCTGATGGCACTGACGTGGAGGACTGGCTCGCCATTTACAAGCGCGTGAGCGTGCCCAACAAATGGGACGAGGACGGCAAGCTGACCAACTTGGTATTCTACCTTGCGGGTGTTGCCAGTTTGTGGTACAACAACCACGCGTCCGATTTTGCCACCTGGTCCGATTTTAAGACCGCAATCATCAACGTCTTCGGAAGCCCTGCTGTTCGCAAGCTGCAAGCCGAGCAGCGCTTACGTGAACGTGCTCAGGAGGCTGGTGAGTCATTCACCAGCTATACTGAAGACGTCCTGGACCTATGCAACAAATCTAACCACACCATGTCTGAGTCTGACAAGATCCAAAACATCATGAAAGGCATTGACGATGAGGCCTTCACGATGCTACTCGCCAAAAACCTCGGCACAGTGGCTGAGGTCATCACACTGTGCCAGAGCTACGAGGAGCTCTGCCGGCAGCGTTCGATGACCCGACGCTCCCCACCACGAGCTGCAACGCTTGCTGGCTTGGAGGCCAGTTGTGACCAAGTGGCGTTGATGGGAGACCTGAAGTCCTTCATCCGTGTGGAAATCCCGCGTCAGTTCTCGCTCCTGCCCTTTGCCCACCAACCGACTGTTCGAAAATCGCCTACTACCCTTCTCTCTCCCATCTGTCGAGCGATTGAACAGGAAATAGCGGAGGTAATGCCTGCGTACCACCCTCCACAGCATCCGGCTCCTGCGCCCCTGAGTTACGCGCAAGTGGTCACCAGGCCGCCCCAAGTCGTTCCAGCACCCGCCCCTCTTACTTACGCCGAAGCTGCCGCTCGACCTCCGTCCTTTGAAGCGGCTATGCCCGCTATGTATGTTGACGTAACGCCTCAGCCTCAGCTTGTAGCTTCAGTCCACCATGCAGCCAACGTTCCGTCCATCGGCCCTTGCGAAATGGGTGAGACCTATTCCGGTGAACAGATGGCGCACACCCGACAACCGGCCCATCTGCTTTGCCTGCGGTTACGCCGGTCACGTGCCCCGTTATTGCCATCGCGTACAGCCGGCAACGATTTCTTCACCTGTTGGTGGCCGACTCAGCCGTCCTTATCGCGAAGAACCGCCGTCTATGCCACCTCGGTCTCGCCCAGGTCCATCTCGAAGATCGCCGTCTCCACGACGTCGTTCCCTGTCCCCCATGCGGACAAGTGCGGCTGCTCATGAGCGGGAAAACTAGTCGTCGCAGTCCCCGAGGCAAGGACTGCGACGCTATCGCAATGTGAAAGCCCTCAGAGCCGCCCCTCGAATGTCACTGAGGTGCTTGTGGACGGTGTTTGTGCATCGGCTCTTATTGACACTGGAGCTGCCGCATCCGTTATTGACGAAAAACTCTGCCAATTACTTCGAAAAGTGACGACGCCACTTTCTGGGTTGTCCCTCCGTACTTCAAGTTTGCATCGTATTCATCCTTCAGCAGGGTGCACAGCTCGCGTTGTCATCCAGGACGTTCTGTATGTCGCCCAGTTCATCATCATTCCGGCATGCTCTCATGACGTCATCCTGGGATGCGACTTTCTCTCCCGCCATGACGCCGTCATCCATTGGCCGCCGCCGAAATTGAGCTCTCACCCTTCTCGCATTTGACGCCAGAAGACAGTCCCTCGACACTGA